TCACAGACTCACAGGGAAGTTCCACTGACGGTCTCACAGACTCATGGGGCAGTTCCACTGACGGTCTCACAGACTCACGGGGCAGTAAAAAAAAGAATCACAGACTCACAGGGAAGTTCCACTGACGGTCTCACAGACTCACGGGGCAGTTCCACTGACGGTCTCACAGACTCACGGGGCAGTTCCACTGACGGTCTCACAGACTCACGGGGCAGTTCCACTGACAATCTCAGAGACTCACGGGGCAGTTCCACTGACAATCTCAGAGACTCATGGGGGCAATCCTATCCTATCCTGTACGGTCACGAGGAGTCAGCATCGACTACCCCATAGTGTGTCTGTGAGAGGTTGCCTAATGGGAAGACAGCCCGGCATGGGAGTGAGTTCATCCCATATTTCAGGGAAGTGAAAATCTAGATTTAAATTCACACACTCACACACAATGTTTTGAGAATTTGAATGTTGGAAGATAACACAACGTTTCTTGTAAACCGTGTGAATCTTAAAACACATTTCTTGGGGCAAACGTGATTCGTAGGCTTCCTATTTCTAGTGCCTGGGCTCCCTGTGTTTGAAAACAGTCGCCGCAGCCTTCTCTGCCCACACTGGCCGGCGCCCACAGCTTCCGAGCAGGCATTCAGGGGCAGGGACTGAGCTCCATTCCATTTACTTATCTATATTGTAGTTCCAGAGCTGTGCCCACACGTGTGTTAAGCCGCTGGATGACTTCTGCAGCAAAACCAACTCTGTAGTCCCCTCTCTAGCCGTGCCCCGCCTGTCCTGTTCTCAACTCACTCTGGTTTGTCTGGATCTCAAAGGGCCATGGGAGGGTGGCACACGGTCACTGGGCCCTCAGTGCCCATGCTCCTCTCCTTCCCCTGTGGCTCTCCAGTGCCACCCACTGTGCCCCAGGTCCCCTTCCAGCCAGGGGTCTGGGGAGGCTACACCTAGGTGTAGCCCGTCAGGTGCCACACACCAGGCAGGGGAAGGCGGCAGGAGGTGACAACAGCAGGCACCTCTGACTGAAGGCTGCCTCTGTCCTCGACAACAGTGCCCCCCGCTGGATAGACAGGGACAGGCAGTGTCTGGTGGACACAGAGTGACCCATCCCTCCACACCCCAGGACAACAGCTGTGGCAGTGGCTTCCTGACTCCTGGCTCACAGCTCAGGTGGCACGTCCCCAGTCCTGGGACAGGGGGAGACCAGGGCTGGACTGGCTGGCTCCCTGTGCCATCCCTGGAGACCTGCTCAGTGCCCACCCCTCGGGCCACCCCAGTGGTTCTCTGAACACTCGGTTTCCGCATTTACTTCCTCTCGGCTAAAATGCAGAATGTCCTGGTCTCTGTCTGGGCATTGCCCGAGCCCTGGCGGTGGAGCCCAAGGACAGCCACAGCCCTCCTGCCATCAGGCAGCCAGGAAATGAGCCATGATTAGGCCGAGTGATGTGTGGGACCATGGGGAGAGACCGAGGAGGATGCTAATTAATCTGAGGCCAAGTCTTTCTAAATTGCACAGACTCTGGGGCCAGCCATTAAGTCACAGTCGAAGGCACAAACGTGGCTCCTGACAATAGCAGGCACTCGAAGCCACTGGAAGGCCCGTCTGAAGTGAGCAGCAGCTGAGAAAGGCCTCATTATGGACAAATTAGCATGCATGGCTGGGGACCAAAGGGGGCCTCCTGAAGGTGTGCCCCAAGACCTGGCTCCTTAGCCTGTTCCCCACCCCCAGGAGGGTCAGAAGCTAGTGGGGACAATCACCTTCCCCCATTTCATCTCAGAGTCACAAATGCCTCTGTGGGGTCAGACCGCAGGCATGAGCTGTGTGTGCAGAGCTTAGATTCCCACCTTAGCAGCTGCGTGACGCCGAGCAAGATGCCTTACCTCCCTGGGCCTCGGTTCCTTCAACACAATAATTCTGACGTGTGACTGCAGAATATGTGGAAGCCTCTACAGAGACCCAAACACTTGGTAAGGGGACAGGGTCACCAGGCAGCGGTCCCAAGCCTTGGGAACACGGTGCATAAAGCACTGCACAAAGACAAGGGCAGACTCTACGGGAATGGGGCCTGAGCACTCAGGTTTCAAACCCCCAGCGGGTCGGAGGTGAGCTGCGAGTGACCGTGAGGCAAGAACACAGAGCCTGAGACAAAAGCCCTGGGCTGCAGTCTCACTTCCACCACTTCTTAGCTCTTGACCTTGGAAAGCTCCCTTGACTTTTCTGAGAGCCTGTCTCCTCAGCCCAACCTAGCCCCACCTCCACCCTCCGTAAAGGAGGGCCAATGCCAGCATTTATCCTGCGGGTCTGCCCTGAGGACAAGGAATCAGTGTGGTGTGACCTGGTCCCTGTGGGGTGCTCAGCATGTCACCTGCCACCTCTGTAGTGTCAGCAACAACTGTGCCGGGCTGCTTGGCCCTCGGGGGCTGCCCTTTGTGATAGTCAGCACTATATTGCACACAGTAGGTGCTCAATGAAGAGGAACTGGATGAGTGAGTCATCCCCATAGGGCTGTGAGCCTGGACTGGAGGGCCCAGCAGCTGGGCAGCCTCCTGGGTGAGGACACCACCAGCGTGCCCAGGGAGGCCCAGCTGCTGCCAGTGGAGTTTCACATGCTCTCGTCGTTGTTCTGCCATACCGCTCACTGCCTGGTGGACAGCACGAGTTGGGGTCACAGGTCTGACTCTGCCCTGGGTCTCCCTACCTGGTGCCATCCTCGGCGCTGGACCTTGCTGGGGGCTGTCTGGGAGCCTCGGCCGAAGGTTTCTTCGGCTTCTTTCAGCAGAGCCCTTTGTCTGTAATCTGTACCAGAGACCAAGAAAGGAGACTTGGTGAGGCTCCGGAGGCAGGTTGCAAGGATGAAGAATTTCAGAAAAAATGTACACTGAAAATGCAGTCAGGGGGCCCCAGAGGCTGTGTACGTGAGCATGTTCCCTCAAAGCCCAGCAGAAACAGGGTGGCTCCCCAGGGTGCAACCCAGCCACACCATGTGGTAAGTTGTATACTGATGTATGGTGATTTGGGCAGATTTAGATAGCAGGAGCAAGATGAGGCTCTCCACTCCCATAAAGAGTCATGGTCTCAGAACCCCACAGGGGGTATTCTGTATTGATGGGACTTGGGTACAGAGACGTCTAGGTACCAAGAACCAGGAAACGCGTGATTCTCCTAACTGCGACAGGCTAGCCTGGCTTCTTGCACTGGGAAAACTGGGGGAACCATCAAGTTTCCCTCTTCACTGTGGGGACTAGGAAGCTCCAGCTAATTCCAAGTTTAACTTGCAGTGGTCCTCCAAAAGGAAGGCTTAGGAAGAACCTTTTCTCCTTTTGTCACCTCGTGGTTGCTACTTTGCCTGGTTTGTCTTTTCCTGGGTAGGCTCGAATTTGCGGCAATAGATTACTGCACAAAGCCAAAGTGCTGTGGTGTGGGACACTCCATGTGTCTCGGGTCATTGGGTGGGGCAGAATAGTTCCCACTTTACAGAGGAGGGGATGCAAGGTCTGAGAGGCCTCAGAGTGGAAAGTGACAGAACAGGGTGCAAATGCCCAGCTCTGCTGCTTCCTCAGCCCTCCCTGTCCAGCTTGGTTAGTACACACTGGCCTCCCAGGAGGCTTCTTCCCACAGCAACGGGTCCCGAAGGGAACCTGGCTCCCCAGCTCTGGCCCCTCACTCTGCCAACCTCCTGCTGGCTCTGGGGTCTCACTGGACCTGCCACGGGGCTGGCGGGTCTTCGGTCGCACCTTGCCTGCACATCGTGTGCTTTGATTACAGATCACACAGCACGCATTTCAACTACTCAGGGCCCAGAGTAATGAAATGCAGAAAAAAGGCCCACTGTCACAAAAGGCTTAGCTACTGAAGTCAATGGTGGAAGGTGACAGCCAAGGGCAATCCCAATGACCCCCGGGAAGAAAGGCCTTCAGTGACAGGCACTTGAGATCTCGGAAATGTCAAAGCCAGGAGCTCCGGCTCTGGCCATCTTCGCCCTGGGGGAGTGGTGGTCAAGGGGAGCTTGACCAGAAGATTAAAGGAGGCTACTCCTCTCTTTTCTTACTTCTGACCAGGCAGGCACTGCTGTGGTTGGCTGTTCCAGGGGGGTCAGAGGGCGGGGATCCAGGGGATCTGCACTGATGGATTTGGGGAAGTCGGTTGTCGGGCCTGGAAGCACTGCTGACACAGCTGCTCGGCCTGGAAACCACCCCCACGTCTCCAGTGAGCGGACCCAGGGCAACCAGTTATCGGCTGCAAAGCCCCGGGGTCTGGGAAGTGGCTTGGCTTCCCTCACTGGCAAAGCTGTGGCTCAGCCAGCACTCACCGTGCGTCCCCTCGGCCTGCGAGGCGCTCCTGGCAAAGTCCGAGTGCGTGGCTTTGCGAGGCGACATCCTTGGCTCAGAATTGGCCCCGTTGACGTAGACGGAGAAGCCCTGCTCCAAGTGCTCCAGCCTCAACTGCAGGGGGTCCTTGCTTTTCAGGTGCTTTAATATCCTGGAAGAGAAGGGCTGCCAGCTGTCACCACCGGACAGTCTGGGCCGGTCCAGCACCCGGCCAATTACTGCCCTGACAGCCAGGTGCCTCTAAGCAGGAGCCCAGCCGTGGGTCTGTGGGCCCTGCCGGCGCTCAAGCTCCAGGGCCGAGGCTGGGACCCACGTTAACAAACATGAGCACATGGTCTTGGCCTGGTGAGGAGCCTGGGTCTGCAGCTGCCACACAGCCCAACCTGTCGGGACCCATGGGGTGGGGGTCGGGGTGGGGGTGGGGGGCTTTACCTCCTGCAAAACAGATACATCTTTAGTCAGGATGGTAAAAAAATGGGGTTTAGGGCCTAAGCCTTGGAGAGAGATCTGACGTCACACATCTACACATCAGAATCCCTGTGTTTGGTAAACTGAGCTGACTTTTGCTAGAGAGAGAAGGAGAGAGGGGGAGAAGGAGGGAAGGGCAGAGGGAGAGAAGGCGGGGGTGGGGGGGTGGGACTGGTCCTTCCCCTCTCCTGACATCACACTGCCTTGGATACTGTCCTGGTGTCTGCCCCAGCCTCTCCAGAACCACGCCCACCTGGTGCCCAACTCCTCCGCATCTTGCAAACACCTTTATGCACCCCCACGGCAACCACATGAGGGTGCAGACAACCGACCAGTACAGCGATGCCCGGGCAGCCCCTGTGGTCCGAAATATCGAATGGGCAAACTTCCAACTTTTCAAAATAATAAAAACATCGTGATCACTGTACAAAGGTGCTCACTATTGTGCCGAATGTCACCCACTTGACATACATGAAGCTAGCCAGATTCACAACAACCCTGGGGGGGAGGCGTGTTTATCATTCCCATTCGACAGAGAGGGGAACCTGAGGCCCAGAGATGTTTGGTCACATGTGACAGCGCTGGAATGTAAACTTAGGCCATTTGACCCAGGTCTTCGTCCGCACAACACAAAGGATGGATGCAGCTTCTGAAGATGATGGTGAAACAGCAAACCCAGACATTGCTAGCAAACTCGTAGAGCCTTCCCAGAAGAAACAGGAAACACAGACGGTGCCACACGCTCGGTCTTTGCCCAGTAAACACACTCCAGGGAAAATTGCTCCTGAGCTCCACATGGCCCAGAAGACGCAGCATTGCACTTCATCATAGCCCTAATTGAAGAACACTGGTTCTTGATGATGTGGCCCTACGTGATCCGTGCCCCCATGAAGAGATGACTGAAGACATGGGTGCTATAGCAAAGTGTGGCGAAGGGAGCGGAGGGTGCCTGGCTATCAGAAAGAATAAATAGCATTTGTCTGGGGTCTTAAAGGTTTGTTTCAGTGAGGTGTCAGCTAAATCCACATGGAAGAAGTACACCATCTTATGAGATCGCAGGATCATAAATAAGTAAATCCAAGACCAGATGAGGGAACGGGAGTAGAGTTTAAATTCTGAACACCCAGTGGGCAGAAGGCTATGGATGACAGTGAAAGCCCAAAATCCATTTGCAGGGTTCTCTCCTGGATCATGCCTCTAGAGCATTCCCTCTGACTATTGACCAGAGATGTAAACAGCATTGCTATCAGACAGAGTGCATGGACAGTGGAGATTGGTTAGGTTAAAATTTAACACCTTATCACTTAGTCTCCCTTTAGACTAATTTTAAATTTGTTCTAGCTTTGAATATTTTCTGCCTTCTTTTGTGTGTGTGTGTGTGTGTGTGTGTGATCCAAGTGTTTATAAAGGATAGAAGTTTCAGGTTTTACAGTTAACTGAACACAGAACTGCACCCCCCATGTGTGGTGACCTGAGGGGCGCGCGTGCGCGAGAGAGAGAGAAAGAGAGAAAGAGAGAGAGACAGACAGACAGACAGACAGACAGACACCACAGGACAGCTGAGCGAAGGCAGAGGTGCAGTGGGAAAGAACTCTGCTTTCTTTTTCCTATTGAGGTTTTTCTCTGTTTAATTTTGTTATTGTTGTCTTTGCATGACTTTCTGTATATGAAATCCAGGAAAGTTCAGTCTATAGAGACAATCACTGTAGTTCTTTAGGGTATGGCAGGGGAGGTTGGGGGCAGAAATAGGGACCTAAGTACAAGAAAGAAGAAAATGTTCTGAACATGATTGTGGTGAAGATAGCACAACTCTTTTTTATAGGACTAAACCATGTGAGATTGTCTGACATATAAATTACATGTCAATAAAGCTGTTGATTGGAAAAAAACAACCAATCACAACATTTCAGTCATGACAAAACCTTGAAAGTGCCCCACTAGCCCTGGTGACATAGTAGCCTTAAGCACTGAGCTGCTAATCACAAGATCAGCGGTTCAAACCCACCAGCTACTCCAAAGGTGAAAAAATGAGGCTGTCTGCGCCTATGAAGACAAAGTCTTGGCAACCCATTGGGGCAGTTTGCTCTGTCCCATAGAGTCGCTCTGAGTCAGAATCAACTCCGTGGCAGCGAGTTCGAGATTTCGAGGGAAGCAGACGCTGGATATTTTGCAGCCATTGTAACTGAAGACGCTGTATAAACGTGATGGGAGGGAGGGGGGCAGAATGACAACAGTACAGACAGGCTCTAAGCTGAGAGGCGGTTTCTGGAGACCCAGAGTCAATGTGGTATGTGTTAAAATTGAGACCCCAGTTGAGTTGGGCGGGGGTGGCATGGTGGGGCGATTTCTCCGTTTTGTTTTTCAAATGTTTCTCGAGCTGCTGATACATCCATCTTTTCACCAGTTCTGACAGGAGCATTCATTACAGACTGCATATCTCCTGCCAGCCTCGGGGGCTGGGAGATACCTGATTGTTGGGCACCAGCGTGAAACAGAAAGAAAACACAAGTAACCAGGAGACAATCTCCAGCCACGGCAAGCGGCAATCCCAAAGCAAACACCCAAGAGTGCTCTGGGCATTTGCAGCCCCCAGGGAGAGGGTGCAGGGAGTGTGGGGGTGGGGGCAGGGGGGAGACCGGGCCCTAGGGGCTTCAAGTCGGGGATATCATCTCCTAGGATCTGCCTCAACTTCCTTCTCAGAGCCCACCCTGGGACCAGACTACATTTAAGGTTTACGGGATCCAGGACTTGGGGCTGGCCCTCCACGCAGGCCTCTCTGTTAGCAGCGTGATGGATGAAAATGTGGATTAGGACGCTGATAAATGAGGAGCCAATCGTTCAGCCTGGGAAAGGAAACGAGTCGCTTCAGCAGCGCCCCCTGCAGCTGAGCTCAAGGGAGCAGCAGGCACTTTAATGAGTGCTGGGCTTTAATGAACAGCCTGCTTTGCATAAGGAGCCACACCCTGTTCTCCAGCTCCGGCTTATTCTTTGGTTGCATCCGCTGCTGGGTCTGACATCCAATGATGGATCTGCCTGTGCGTGGCTCTTCTCCCTCCGGGCTGCTGGGAGCTAAGCTCAGGGTGAAGAACTGAGGGGGGGTGTGTGTGTGTGTGTGTGGTGTGTGTGTGCACTCTCCACTCCATTTTTGAACCAGTGACCTTGAGAGCTGGTGGTGGGGTGGGGTGCATAGCAGTGGAGGGAGAGCTGAGCTGCAGTCGTTGTGGGGGGGACACTTCACTCTTGTGTACACAGGAAGACATGGCGGTCCCAGTGAGGTTGAGGGGAGAGTGTCTATCAGGAGGGAGTGAGGTGGGGACTGGGCAGGGTGATGTGTGGAGGCGGTGGCTGGGTGGTGAAGAGGACTTACAACACAGGCCAACCAGAGCCACTGCCATCAAGTGGACTCTGACTCCTAGTGA